TGTATTTTATTTATAAAAATAAAAAAATATGTTAGAACTGTAAATATACAGTCATATGTTTATAGTACTATTTTTTCTATGTATTTATTACTGTTTTTCAAGGCTGCACTTTAAAAATGAAATTGTCTAGAGCTGTTTTAAACGAAATTTCTTTGTGTTTACACTCATGTACAAAATGACAAAATAAATCTGTCCGAGTCTCTAAGCCAATTAACCTAACAGTCATGTTTTTGGACTGTGGCAGGAAGCCGGAATACCCAGAGAGAACCCATGCATGCTCAGGGAGAACATGCAAACTCCATGCAGAAAGACCCCGGGCCGGGAATCGAACCCAGAACCTTCCTGCTGCAAGGCTATTTCGGACATTTTGAATTGAAAAAGCTTCCTGGACGGAAAGAGAAACGTCTTCAAACTTGGAAATAAAGTCCAGTGGATTTTTTCTTTGAACTTTTCTAATTAAACTTTATTTTTCTTGTATCTGGACTTACATTGGTGTAAGGGGGGGTGTGGTGGCGGTACACGATCCAGGGAGGAACCGCCAGGGTTCGGTTCAACATCTTAGCGAAGGCAAGAGATCCCAGGAAGTGGTCTGCCTGGTTCCCGAAGCGACCTGGAGGACAAGATCCAGAACTAAAGTTTTGATAATGATTCAAATGTTAATATTTACAAAGTCTACTGCTTCAGTTTTTATAACGGCAATATGCATATACTCCAGAATGTTCTAAAGATTGATCAGCGTAACAGCAATTAATTGCAAAGTCAATATTTGCCTAGAAAATGAACTTTATCCCCAAAACACATTTCAGCGTCATTGCAGCCCTGCCTTAAAGGAGCAGCTACCATGGTTTCAGTGATTGCTCCATTAACACAGGTGTGGGTGGTGATGAGGACAGGGCTGGAGATCAATCTGTCAGGATTCAGTCAGAATGACGCCACTGGACACTTTAAAAACAGGCTGCTGCTTGGCCTCATTGTTTCTCTTCTGTGATCCATGGTTATTTCTAAAGAAACACCTGCAGTCATCATTGCACTGCACAAAAATGGCCGAACAGGAAAGAGAATGGCAGCTAGAGAGATTGCACCTCAGTCAGCAATTTATGGCATCATCAAGAACTTCAAGGAGAGAGGTTCCATTGTTGCCATAAAGGCTCCAGAGCGCCCAGGAAAGACCATGAAGCACCAGGACCGTCTCTTAAAAGTGTTTCAGCTGCGGAATCGGGCTACCAGCGGTGCAGAGCTTGCTCAGGAATGGCAGCAGGCAGGTGTGAGTGCATCTGCACGCACTGTGAGGCGGACACTCTTGGAGCAAGGCCTGGTCTAAAGGAGGGCAGCAAAGAAGCCAGTTCTCTCCAGGAAAACCATCAGGGACAGACTGATATTCTGCTAAAGGTCCAGGGAGTGGACAGCTGAGGACTGGGGGACAGTCATTTCCTCTCAGCAATCCCCTTTACCATTGTTTGGGACATCTGGAAAACAGCAACTTCTCCAAACCGTCCAAGAGCAGTTTGGTGATGAACGATGCATTTTCCAGCATGATGGAGCACCTTACCATAAAGCAAAGCTGATATCTAACTGGCTCAGGGAACAAAACAGAGAGATGTTGGGTCCATGGCCTGGAAACTCCCCTGATCTTAATCCCATTGAAAACTTGTGGACAAACGAAAACCTTCTGACTAAATGCGAGCACTGATTGTGCAGAATGGACGCTATCAGTCAGGGTTTGGTCCAGAAGCTGATTGAGAGCAGCCAGGGAGAATCGCAGAGGTCCTGAAGAAGAGGAGTCAACACTGCAAATATTGACCTGCTGCATTAACTCATTCTAACTGTCATTAAAAGCTTTGGTTACTCAGAATAGGATTGCAATTGTATTTCTGTATGTGATGACAACATCTGACATGAAAACCAGAGGGCAGCAGATCAGGTGAAAATATAATATTTGTGTCATTCTCAGTACTTTTGGCCATGACTGTAGTCCTCTTGGATGAAGAAGTTAGATCCTCCAGATTTAACGGCTTTAGAAACAGCTTCTCTTGACTCACTAGTCTAAGTTTAGCTCCATCCTCTAAACAAAGTTG